TGTGCGAGAGAGAGAGAGAGAGGAAAGCGCATATAATCCCCCAAAATCAATGCCGTCTAGGTAGGCAGCTCGCTAGGTTTGAGACACCGTCACTAGTTGTATTCTACTTGCCCCGCGCATCTCTGCGCTTCATAGCTCTCAAGCCCTGACTCCTGCACTGTAACTCAGCCCGAGCCGAACCTGTTGCACGCAGCCTGCCGTGGAGCTCTCGCGCGCGGCACACCGGACAGCAACTCTCACACAGCAGCAGCAGAGTTTGGTGCTGACACCAGGAGGACATATCTTTAGCGTCACTGAACACCTTCAAGAGACCCCTGCAGGTCAGTGCACTCACAGACCACCTCTAGTGAGCAGCAGGTGAATACTGTTCGTTTACTCTGAGTCTGCTAATTTACATACATGCTGCACAGCCGTTTCACGATTAAAAAGCCATCATATACTTCGGGTAAGTGTGAACCACGATCTTATAATATTACTTTATATGAATAAAGTGCATAAAGTAGGCTTTTTGAGATGAATTCTGAGAATCTGTGAATACACTGTTGAGTGACAGGCGAGTGTAGTTTTACAGATTCGAATAGATTTCAACAGTCAGGGACGTTCAGGAAAATGTCCTGTTCTTCATGGCTGCGATTTATGAATTGAGACACCGTAACATCGCTGTAAGATCTTCACATTACATATCAGACTACAGCAGAAATCATCAGCATTACCAGGGATGTTTCTGTCTGGGTTTATTTAGTGGAAAGCGTTTGACTGTTATAGTGAACAATTTACAGTACATTTTGATCAATATAGAGGCCTCCAAAAGTATTTGGACATTTTGGCTACACTGTTTGAATGCCATTGATTTCGGCGTATTAAAAAACAATAGTAAAACGTTTTTTAGGGTTAAAATGCTAAAACATTAATATATTGTTTAATATATTGTTTGTTTGTTTGTTTTGTGTTTGTGTGTGTTCCTCTACATCTGTGGTTCCTCTGATTGCACACCTGTGTGAACACTAAAAAACATCCCAAAATCACCAAATCTCACAGTAAAGTGAAATGAGCTCTGATAAAGAACTTCAGAATTGAAGAACTGATGATACTTGATGTGATGTTCAGTTATATCTCTTAATAAATGTCCAAATCTGTCCAAATAGCCCACTATATGCTGCTTAGTTCAATTTTTTTATTTTTTTTACTTTCAACTTTATTATAAACAGAGAATTGATTTTTCAGCAATCACAACACAAACTATATTTAATCTGAGATTTAGACTGTAGAGATTAAGCCGTGTTTCGTCTGTAGTGTTTGTAGTGAAAATTCTGGCTTAATAGAGCCTATTACTTTGCATGTTTTAACTGAGTAAAAGTTCTATGTGTCAACTTTACAAAAATACTCTCAAATAACATTTACTACTTATTAGATGTCTAAAATCGATGTAAAGCATCATTATGGAGATGGTAAATATATGAAACCTTAGTGTTGTTTCCTATCCACTGCCGCGTGTGATCACTGGGTTTTTATGAAGCACTATTCTCTGCTTTAGAACAAGATTTTGTATTGTAAAAACACTGTAAAAATATGTTGAAACTGATCAGGTTGCCCAGCTAACATACTCTTCAAACTATAGCGTGTATGTCACAATCATTTGAGTCAGATGAAGTAATTTACTGTAATTACTGTATGAATGTTTCAGTGTCCTAAAGACAGAAACATCATCATAATTTCTGACATTTGTTTGTTTGTTTGTTGATTTGATTGTTGAGAGCACAGTATGAATTTTCACTAAAACATTATCTACTAGAACTGAATGAAGGCTGACATCTACTAGCGTAAGTTTCATCATGTTCTAATTCATGAACTTCAGTAGCGTATCTATAAAAAAGAACAAAATATCTTTGCCGATGTAAGCACCCTTTAATTCAAGAACTGAAGTCAGATTCTTGTGACAGTCACAAATAGCGACTAACGCACAAAGTCTGGCCTGCTGTTATTTAGGGAAATCAAAGAACCTTATGACATTTCTGATGCGTTACACAAATTGCGAAATTAATATGAAAGAGTGGTCACGAAATATCTAATTCTGCTTTACCCGTAAATCTGAGGTCAGCTTTGTCATTCGGTTCAGACTGTGCTTTTGCATAGTAAGTAATCGTAAAAGTGGGAGGGCAAGAAAAAAAAAAAAGGAAAATAAAAAACAGAAACTGAAAACAGAAATTGAAAATGTTTCACTTGGACTCAGAGTTCTGCCCGTAATTGTTGTGTGTTTTATTGTGATGTGCACATGCACATTTGTCTTATATACAGTGTGCTGTTTACGTCGTCGTTGTGTTTGTGTGTGTTGTACAGTGGGGTCCAAAAGTCTGAGACTATAGTGAAAATGCACTTTGTTTTAACACGAATGTTCCATTACAAACTGTATCATCAGTATTGTGATTTTAAATGTGAACATAAATTCAATATTTTGTCTCTTTGATGAGCATGATTTAAAAACAACATCTTGCGCTTTAGTGAAAGCAAGAGAATTTGATTAGTCGCCTAGAAATCGAAAATATTTTTTTATATATTATATTTAATTTGGTTTCACTTTATTTTGATGGTCCCTTTAACACATTCTGTTGCGCACAACTCTCAGAGTATTAGTAGAGTATTACTAGACTGGTAGGGTTAGGGTTAGAATAAGTTGGCATGCACTTGCAAAGTCACTTATAGTCAGTAGAATGTCTGTTGGGAGACCATCACAATAAAGAGTTAGCAGATATTAAGAAAGCAGTCTACTAATACTTCGATGAGAGTTAGTAGACCATCAAAATAAAG